AAATGCAACCTCACCAGTCTGTGCCAGGAAATTTGGAGGATGGTTGTCTGGCCAATGGATTGGAAGAGGTCTATATTTGTTCCTATTCCTAATAAAGGTGATCCAACTGAATGTGGGAATTATTGAACAATATAATTAATATAACATGCAAACAAAATATGCTGAAGATCATTCAAAAGTGGCTAGAAAACTACATAGATAGCAAACTTCCAGAAATACAAGCAGGATTTAGAAGAGGCCATGGTACCAGGGACATCATTACTGATGTCAGATGGATCCTGGCTAAAAGTAGAGAGTAGTAGGAGAATGCCTATTTGTGTTTTGACTATGCAAAGGGGTTTGACTCTGTGGATCATAACAAGTTTTGGCTGACATTGAGAAGAGCACATAATTGTGTTTATGTGAACCTGTACTTGGACCAGGAGGAGGCTGCAGTGTGAAAACAACAGGAGAATACTGCATGGTTTAAAATTAAGAATGCAGTGTGTCAGGGTTGTATTCTGTCTCTCTCCACATAGTGTTACATTTATATTTATCTAGATAGATAGATGGATAGATATATGGATAGATAGATAGAGATAGAGATAGAGATAGAGATGATAGAGATAGAGATAGCTATAGATAGAGATAGATATTTTTGTTTTGTTTTTTTTTTCTATAATTAATATTTTATTAATTTTCATAAACATTTACAGAGATTTGGGGTTTCCATTCATTCACCGCTGCACCATTCTCTCTACCCTCCTCCCAGTTTGTTCTTGTCCAAATGCCACAGTGCTTGTCAAAGCCAGTTCTGATTAATCTTCTTTGTCAGTGTGTCCTTTGCCATTCCCTATCACTCCTCCCTGAGAGAGACTTCACCCTGTTTCCTACTGCCAAAGGGGCCCTTTAGAGTAGTGAGAGAAGATCTTCACCCTGAAACCCACAGCGTCCCGTTTCAGCAGGAAGTAGCTAAGAGAGATAGATATTTTTGTACCACTTACAATAATCTTACTAATGACTACATACTTGAAATCGTGTAAGGCAGCTACTTTATTGCTGTGACCTGGTGGTGGTGGTTGCAACCTGATATCCTGCTCTGCACTAGGCTTTACTTGTGGATGCAGAGGTTCAAGCTCATTGCTTCAATTAGTGTTTCTATCCTTTCTGTTGTTGATGGTCTTCCTTTTTTTTGCTGACCCTTCACCTTCACATTCCTAAGAATGATGTCTCCTTCCAAGGAATAGCTTCTCATTAAAAAAAAATAAAATAAAAGGGCTCTAACAGTAGAATCTGTTTTCTTTAATATTCAAAAGCATTTGAATGCATGTATCATACCAAATTATGTCTAACATTTTAGAAGAATGGGAATTGCAGAAAACTTAACTGTGCTCATAGGAAATCTATACTTCAAACAACATGTTGTTGTCCCAAAGGAGGAAGAAAATACTCTGAGATTTGAAATAATGAAGGGTGTGCACCAAGGATGCATCATTTTTCCATACCTATTCAATCTGTATGCTGATAAAATAATGCATGTACTCTATGAAAAGGAAGATGACATCAGGATTGGAGAGAGACTTACCAACAAACAGTGTTATGCAAATGACACAGCCTTGCTTGCTGAAAGCAAGAACTTTAAACACTTGCTACAGGAGATCAAAGACTAAAGCCTTTAATAATGTGGATTACATCTCAACATCAAGAAGATAAAAGTTCTCACCACTGGGCCTGTAGGCAACATTGTGATAGATGGAGAAAACAGTGAAGTTGTCAATGATTTCATCTTATGGTATCAACAATCAACACCTTGAGTCCAACTGTAAGGAGACCAGGAGACATATTGTACTGGAGAGTCTGCTCTTAGAGATCGCTGGAAAATCCTGAAAAACAATATCTGCCTTGATGGGTGGACGGGGCGGTAGGGGGGCGGGGGAATGAAAGGGGAAAGATCCGGAGTGAAAAGCAATGTGTATGAACTTTGTAAGTAAACCAGTTTAAAACAAAAACTAAACAGGAATAAAGTATGTTTTATTCAAGCCATTGTCTTTGTAATCACTTGTTTTGCATCTGAGAGCCAGACAATGAATTAAAGATGGTAGAACAAGAATTGATGCTTTGAGTTGTGATAATAGAGAAAAGTACTGAATATTATATGAACTATAAAAATAACAAACAGAATATGCCTTGCAAAATGTGAGCCAGAGTTCTCCTTGGTGGCAAGGATGACAAAGTTTTGTCTCTCATACTTTGGTCATGTTGCTAGAAGATATTCATTGGAAGGGAAGGTCATGTTAATAGCACAATTGTTGTGCTTAGGTGCCATCGAGTGGAGTAGGACTCATAGCAACTCGTATGAACAACAAGTGTGAACCCTGTACTGTTCTATATCAACCTCATGATCTCTGCCACACTTGAGCCCATTGCTATAGTCACTGTGTCAGTCTTCCTGGTTAAGGGTCTTCCTCTCCTTTGCCATCTCCCCACCTCCCTAAAGTGCACTCTGGCTGTACCTCTCTAAGACATAGCAGTTTGTTCTTTTGACAGCCCATGGAATAGTCAGTACTTTTCTCCAACACCATAGCTTAAAGATAGATAAAGAGATAGAGCTAGAGATGGATAAAGATATAGATAGAGATATAGGTGATAATATAGATAGATTGATATTGATCTACAGTCACTCTTATTCATTATATTTGTGATTTATTGACTATACACATGTATTAACTGCATTAGTCCTCACAAATTATGGCTAACCTTGTGAAGAATAGGAATCCCAGGACACTCAGTTACACTCATGTGACACCTCTACCTAGACCTGCTGTGTGAATAGAGCAAGGGAATATTACATGGTTTTAAATTAAGAGAGGCATGTATCAGGCTTGTATCTTGTCATCATACCTATTCAATATATATGCTGAGCAAGTTATTTGAGAAGCTTTACTTTATGAAGAAGATATGACATCAGGACTGGAGAGAGACTCATCAGTAAACTTTTAGCAGATGACACAACCTTGTTTGCTGAAAGTGAGGAGGACTTGAAACACTTTCTGCAGAAAATCAAACACTGCAGCCTTTGGTATGGATTGCATTTCAAAGTCAATAAAACAAATTATCCACTGGACTGATAGGTGACATCATAATAGATGGTGTAAAGATAGAGACTGTCAACAACTTCACCTTATTGGAATCTATAACCAATAAACTTTGTACCAGAAGTCAGGAGATCAGGAAATGTATTGCACTTGGAATGTTTGCAATCAGAATGCCTCCAAAATACTGAGGATCAATGATTTTAGTTTGAGCATTAAAGTGCACTTGATTCATACCATGGTCTTTTCAGTTGATAATAATTTCTAAAGAAAAAAATAGGTGAGAATGGAGTAGTAAATGCATGAGATAATCGAGGAAATCATCCTGAAAGTTATATTTGAAAGAAAATATATGAAACAAATGATAAAGTAAAATGACCACACAGCCCTATAAAATAATGTTTTAGGCAGAGAAAATAGCAAGTTTATATAGTTGCAAGTATAATGTGTTAAAGCTAGTAAATCAAAACAGGAAAGAAAACCAGTACATTAAAATGAAGTGATTAAGATAAATCATGTCAGAATCTGCAATTATACAATAAGTATACTTACTGATAATAGGATGATGTGTAGGGAAACGATGTGTGAGAATGAGAGTAGCTGAAAATGAAACCATTAAAATAGCTGAATTCTAGATATGTAGAAGTAACTATATTACAAGAATTGCCTAAGAGAATAATAAATTACCAAGAATTAAGACTGGATTAACGATGAAAAGTAATGTGGAAAAACCCAAGAGATCATATTTCACTTGCTTCCTATTGGAATTGGAAGTAATTGGGAAGTTGGACACCAAATAAAGAAGGACAAAGAAGAAATGATGGCTTTTAACTGAAGTGCTGACACAGAGTACTGAATATCACATGGAGTTGCCAAAAAAACAAATAAATCCTTCTTGCTTGGTGGCAAAGATTTTCAATCTTTGTCTGCCATACTTTGGACATGTTGTCAGGAGGAAACAGTCCTTGGACAAAGACATTATGCTTCAAAACGTGGAGTGCCATTGAAAGAGAGAAAGATCCTCAATGGAATGGATTGACATAGTGACCGACACAGTGGGTTTGAGTAAAACAGAGATCATAAAGATGATGCAGGAAAGGACAAAGTTTCAATCGTTAATAGGGTCTCTGTGAGTTGTAGTTCACTTGATAGTACCTAACAACAACTATGTTGGAAAAGTGACAATGATCCAAGAGCTAACGTAGTTAAGGAATAATGGGCACTTTCCCAGAGCATAGAGAAAGCTTTTACAAAGTTTGTAGTATATGTAACTTGGTAAATTGAGAGTAATCAATCATGATTATGATGTTCATTTCCTTTCTATTCAGAATTTTCTGATTGGCAAATATGAATTAAGTACACTTTGACTTAATACTGTTTCTTAAAGAAATGATGCATCCTGCAATGTTTTTTCAATAAATGCTGTTTTGCCACATATATTTGTCAAGGTATCTGTACTGCAATGATCAAGTTTACTAAAGGAAACTTACGCTTTGAACTTTAATAACTCTTTCCCTGAGAGGTCTTTAGGTCATTTGAAATGTGTTGATTGTTTTTATATCTTAAAATTCTGTTTTTAGACAGGGATTTGGGTTTCCTTCTTGAAATTTATGGTATTAGTGTACTGTATCCATAAGACAATCCATAATTGTCTTTTCTGTTAAACCCAATAGCTGTTACTGGAACATTTGGAGTGCCTTGTGTCACGGCATGAAAGGTCACTAAGAATGACGGTGGTAAAGCGACAAGCTCAGTCCCCCTCTGGAGTGTCCAGTGAAGTTGAGGTTCTCAAAGCCCTGAAATCTTTGTTTGAGCACCACAAGGCCTTGGATGAAAAGGTACAGTATGGACCAAAGATTTCAACCTTTACTGTAATTTTGTCTTCACCACCAGGTATTGTGTTTTTGTTCATCGACCCAACGGGCTTGTGAAGTGAGTCATTTCACAACAATACACATGCCAGAATTTTTCTAGGATTTTTTTTTAAGAAATACAGCCTGATTACTATGTATTATGTCTGTAACATTAATAACCATGTTCTTTTTTCAAATTCAACAAATTATTTACTCATCACAATTTTATTTTTATCATTGTCATATTATTACAGTTATCCGGTTGAAATATAATTGATACTAAATCTCTTTTTCTTTGTCTCTTTCTCTCTCTCTCTCTCCCGTCTTCTTTCTGAAATACATATACAAGGATATAATAAAACAAGATATCACAATGCAAAATTACACATTCTTTGAAGTGCAAATTAGTTGTACTTCAGCTTTTTAAGTCTCTTCTATCTTACATACAAATACAATTTTAAGACTCTCTGCGTGTAGTACCATAAGATATTAATAGAAAATCATGATTCTAGGTCTTTCTAAAAGTGGTTGTGAGCTTTACTTAGCTGTTACTCAAATAAATTCTCTTGACATATTTAAGTCAGTATGATGAAAATATCCTTTGAAGATTAGAAGAGATTATTACATGATTTCAATTTTATGAAATATCAAAGAATGAATTAAAAAAATTAAAGAAAGATTTAGTACTTTGTAGAGTGAAATTTAGGACTCTTCATTGTAAAATAACTGATGTTTTCTAAGCATTAAATTCCAAAGTAAGGATTATTTTCCCAGTTATATCAACATTTTAAGCAAATTCCATATTCTCTCTCTCTTTCTGTCACACACACACAACCCCCAACATGCGAGTGCACGCATGCACACACACACACACACTCCCCATGCCCCCCCCCGAATATTCCAGTGTTTCAGCTATTCTTTGAGATAAGGGAATTGTAGAATGTGTGTATAATGAAAATTATAGTTCCATATTCTACGTTAATAAGAAAAACAACTAAAAAAATCAAAAAATAAAAGCAACTCTGACAGTTTAGTGGTAAGAAGTTGAGTTTCTAACACTAAGGTAAATGGTTGGTACCTACAAATTGCTCTATAGGAGAGAAATGGATAATCTTCTCCATGTGATTTAAAGCTGCTGAATATCCACAGAAGAGTCTGCTATGATTCTCTTCTGACTTGAAGCCACCAGCAACAACAACAACATTATTAGGAACATTGTAGCATGGGTGTTTTTCTCTCATAAGAAACTACATCTTTATGAACGATTTTGAATAAAACAAAATTGAAATTTACTTTTTTCTTTCCAAATATAATATTACATACCATATTATCATTTAATGGCTAATTTTATGTTATACATATGCATGCGTATACAAGCACATCTACATATCTGTATAACCACTTCCTTAGACTCAATCCTAACTCGTAGTGACCTTACAGCAGCCCTATTGGACAAACTGCTGAACTGTAACATAGTAACATGGTTAAGAATTTGAGAAACTTTATAACTGTAGAATGTCACATGTGTGTTAGGCTCCTTAGCAGTCAATGAAAATACAAAAATAAATATATATTTTCTTCATACCTGAAGAGTTTTCAGTTAATACTGGATATCCCTATGCTAGTAACAGAAAACGCAGAAGCATCTGTGTACAATGCTTTAAATTCATAGAAAAGGGTGTGACTATTGCTCCTTGAGTGAGGAGGAAGTCTGAAATCCTTTCAGAGAGTAAGCTGGGTATTAAAAAATAAGAAAATTGTGTCAACAGAGAGAGATACTTAACAACAAGACTAGCATATGAAAAGACTTCTCAGTGAAAATAATAACCATTTTTACTACCTTGAGTGGTGGTAGTGATATGTTGCTTTGGAAATTTTAAAAAAGGGATTCTTTTATGAGAGCAAAAAGTTATCCACCAGAATAGAGAACAAATGAATATAGTTGAGACAAAGAACGTTAAGCATGTTTAAGAATCAAATAGCTAATTCTTCAAATATCGTACAATCTAGATAATATTTACTATATAAAATGGTTCTGATTGTGTAGTTGGTAAGGAATTGCACTGGCAACCCAAAGACAGGCAGATTAGCTGCTCCACATGAGAAAGAGACACAGTCTCCTCTTGAGATTTACAGACTCTGAAAACAAACTAGAGCGTCAGCTATGATCCAGTTCTGACTCCATGCCACATAACAACAACAATAAACTAGAAAAACTAAATTAGATTTTCTATGATATGGTTCCTAGAAACGTTAATGTTATTATTAACTTACCAGAAAGAGTTTAAACACTGGTAAGGTTAAAGATAACAGAAATGACTATCAATTTCGTGGTGCTAAATTTCACAAAACAAAAATGTTATGAGTGTTAAGCTCTGGAATTAGAACTGAAGAGAAGACTAAATTTTTCTATATATTTATTTTCTTTACTTTCAGATGGAGTAATATCAGTAACTATATTATGTTTATGAGACTTAAATGTGCATTTAGTCAATGCTTAACGTGTAAAGCGCTTTGTGGGTATCAGTGGTTATTACCAATATGCACAAATTTCAGCATCTGATAAAACTTTCCAGGTAGATTAAGATGTTTGTATCTAAATATCTTAATGTTATGATCCACTTGCAAAATTTAAGTAGGATTTTGTGTATTTTTTTTTTATTTTTGAGGCCGATTATGAAGGCATAGACCAAGTGCCCCGTAGAGGCAAAGATGGCAAACCTTCATTTCACATACTTTGAGCATGTTGTTAGGAAAGGCTATTCCTTGGAAAAGGACAGTGAAAGAGAAGAAGACCCTTAATCAGGTAGATTTATGCAATGACTACAGCAATGGTCTTGAATGTGTAAGAGATTGAGGCTGGCACAAAATAGGACAGGGTTCAGATCTGTTGTTGACAGAGTTGCAATGAGTCATACTCAACTCTCTGGCACCTACCTAAACAACAACAATAATTATGAGTCTTCATAGAAAATTTCCCTCTGGTCACCTAGTGGTCAGGAATTATGCTACTAGCTCAAGAGCAGGTGGTTCAAATCCACCAATTTCTCTACAACAGAAAGATGTGCGGTCTCCTCCCGGGAATTTACTGCCTCCAAAAACCTGCTAGAAGATCAGTTTTCAGTTGGTTTCAAATCAATGGCACACTGATTGCATTACATGAAAGATTAACAGATTTTTGAGGATGAGATAAGATAATAAAAGAAGTAGAATTAAAACTTGCAATTAGCAAATTTTTTATGGATATTTTTAAATTATACAGAAGGTCAGGAAAATATAAAATTAATTATAAATTGAGGACAAGAAGCAAGTAGTTTTACTATAAAGGGTTTAGAATACATGAAGGGCTAAATAACTTCTAGATTTTTGAACATAACTGGACGAATTCACTAAGTAGCAGTCTTCCTTATAGATATCTTTATTTATGCACCCATTTAAGTGGGAAGTACTATATGTTAGGAACTAAGACAACAGACATTTTGACATATCTTCACTATGTCTACAAATTTTTTGAGCTATAAAAATAATATTTTTCTGTGTGTTACTGTCATTCAGCTAATAATGACAATTTAAGGATACCAATATATTGGACAGGTGTGAAAAAATACCTAAAATATAAAATAAATATGATTTACTCCAAAACTGTTTTATGTCAATATCACATTATCAAATATGAATTTGAACTTCTAGTCTAAAGAGAATTCCTCAAGAATGTTTTATGTGAAATAAATTATTCTCTCAAATGAGATACTGTTATGCTTTATTTTTAATTTGGAATGTATACTTCTTCCACCAAAGTCTTCAATGTACTTTTTATTTGGGGGATTTATCTTCTTTTTATTTTTATAATAGCAATGTCTGTGGTCTTGGAACATCTTCTGAATATAGGGGAAACATTTCTCTGTAGTATTTTTCTTACCATTATGAAGGAAATTAAAAAAAGCTTAAATCAGAATGATGAGATTCTTGATATATACAAATTTATTTTTTTGATTGTACTATAGTTCTGGAAAAAAAGAATCAATACATTTGAAAATGTAAATAGACAGCAGGTTAACTCAAAGTGATTAAATGTATCAGAAAAAATAAATATAGAGCAAATGTTATGAACTTATGGGAAAAAAGACTATTTTTCATGGCAAATGAAGTATGTTTGCATAACTTGACAAGATCTCTAAGTATATATAGAAAAATTATGATTTTTTTTCCTCCTTGCTAACGTTGAAATTCAGAATACAGCAATAAGATACAAACGTTCTTTCTTAGGGAGCTCTGACATCCTATTGTTAAGAAGTTTTGTTGCCAGTCCAAAGGCATGTAGTTTACATCCACCGTCTGTTCTGTGAGAGAAACATGGACAGTCTAACCTCCTTGTGATTTACAGCATCTGAAAACCCACCGGAGGTTCAGCCAGAATCAGTTCTGATTTGATGGCATGTAACAACAACAAAGTCAGTAAAACATATTTTATGAGTTCTATTCATTTATAACTTACCCAAAAATTAAGTACAAAAGGTATTGTTCATTCCCATATAAATGTTAATGATATGTTTATAAAACAGTGATTGCTATTTTCAACATTATTTTTATATTTATAACAGTGACTAAAGATATAATTACTTTTTGGATAATGTCATTGTGACTTCATTGAAAGGACACTTGATTTTTCTCTTTTCTTGACAATATTAATTATTTTACTTCTAGAAGGCTTTCTATAAGACGACTAACTAGTGCTTAACTAGTGGCAAATAGAAAATAATTTAGAACTTTTCCTGAGATTTTTCAGTATAGAAAAAAAAATTGAAGATTTTTTTCATGATACATCTTAGTCTCAGCTATTTCTTATGTGACATGAATGACTCTCTGTGACAGTTTTAGTGTAGGTATATATCTTTTACTATATGGCACTTTTACCTTGCTGAACTGTCTAACGTGATATGATCAATGTTGAGTTTAGTAAGAATACTAATGATCACTTGCTGCTGCTGTTCTCCTCAGTTAGAATTCCTAAAACATTTTCAAAAGAACCCTACTTTACAGCTGATGTTTTAGGAAGTGAGCAGAAAAGCTTTGTAATCATCCTAGTGAATTATTAAGTATGCTTATTAAAAATCTTGTCTCTTGTGTGCTTCCACATATCATACTAATTTTTATGACATGAGTAATTTTTTTTCTTTTACATCTGTCAAGGAGATTCATAAAAATGTATAACTTATATTAAGGCTTAAGTTTTCTTCCAGAGAGTTCTCAAACAGTAATAATGAATACAATTATATAAGCTTTATATACATTCAGATTTTTTTAAATTATCTTATTATTTTATGAATTTTAATGAACATTTACAGAGATTTTTGGATTTCCATTCATTCATTGTTGCACTTTTCTCCCTTCCCAGCACTCCCCTCCCCTCGCCCAGTTTGGTTCTTTCTTTGAAAAGTAAAATAGAAATTCTTTCTTTGGTATACAATCCCCCCGCACCCCTTCCACCAGCCCAAGTACACTCCACTATGCAACCTTAATTCTGGACTCTCGTGATAACCATAATATTTATCTAGTGGTACAGCAGTAAATTTTATAGTTAAAATTCATGAAAGATTCTGTGTAATAGCCTTATATCAAGCATTCACTTATATACACATTCTTAATTTTCAGATAATTTATGGATTACTAATATAATTAATATTAAAACTCTACTAGGATATATTTTTTGACATACTCAAGATGAGTTTAGAAAGTTAAGTGTACCTCATACTGTATGTATACATAAGTTATAATTATATTGTCCCGGAAAAATGTTTGAGATTTAAAAAAATAATGATAATTAGCTTTCAGGTAACAGGTAAGTATAAAAGAATGTTATAATTCTAACAGTAAAATTTATATGGATCAGAGTTTTGATATTATTATTTCATATTTTTGGTAGGTGACATAAAGTCAACTATGAATTAGTGGCCTTATGGACAAGAGAACTGAACAGTGCCCTATTCTAAACCATTTTTAGACCCCTGACATGCTCAAGTCCACTGCGGTAGTCATGATGTCAATCTAACTCATTGAGGATCCTCCTCTGTTGTGTTGTTGTTGTTCTTGTTAATGTGCCGTCGAGTCGCTTGCAACTCATAGCAAGCCTATGTACAACAGCCCTAAATTCTGCGCTGTCCTGTGCTAATCACACCGTCTCCGACACACCCATCCCAATTACTCCAACCACTGAATCAATCCACCTCATAGGGGGCCTTCCCCTTCTGCACTGTCCCTCCACCCTCCCAAGCATGATGTCCCTCTCCAAGGACCTGTCCCTCCTTGCAACATGTCCAAAGTATGTCAGACGGAGCCTTAGAATCCTTGCCTCCAAGGAGCAGCCCAATTTGACCCTTTCCAGGATGAATCTGTTTGTTTTGCAGGCCATGGTACCCCCAGTACTCTTCTCCAGCACCACAGCTCAAAGGCGTCAATTCTGCTTCTATCCAACTCTCTGATGCATAACAAGTGATTGCAAAGACCATGGCTTGTATGAGGCGCACCTTAGTCTCCCAAAAAGACACCATTGCTCTTCAATACTTTGGAGAGGTCCCTAACAGCAGACTTTCCCATGGCAATACGTCTTCTAAGCACTTGCTGCAGAGGGTCAAGGACTGCAGCCTCCAACATGTATTGAAGCTCAATGTCAAGAAGACAAAGATTCTCACCACTGGGCCAATTGGCAGCATCAGGATGAATGGTGAAGAGATTGAGATTGTTTACAGCTTCAGTTTGCTTGGCTACACAGTCAACAATCTTGGCACCAGCAGCCAGGAAATTAGAAGATGTATTGCCATGGGAAAGTCTGCTGTTAGGGACCTCTGTTGTGTAACCCCTCTAATTTTTCCAGCATGATGTCTCTCTCTAAGAACTGGTTCCTTCTGAATATATACCAGTTTTAAAATTATCTTTAACCTATGTTCCCAGATAAATTCTATTAGGGAAAAAAATCTTTATTACTATACTATCAATTTTTGTTGCTTGTTTTTATGTGCCAACTACTTGCTTGTGACTTATAGCGACCTCATGTCCAATAGCCCTGAAACCTGCTCTCCTGAGCCAACTTTCAGACACACCTTCCCTCATTACCCCAGTCACAGAATCAGTCTATCTTGTCGATGGTCTTTCTTTTTCTCTCCCTCCACCCTCCCAAGCATGATGACCCTTTTCAAGGACTGGTCCCTCCTTGCAACATGCCCAAGGTACATCAGATGGAGCCTCAGAATCTTTGCCTCCGAGTGGCAACCTGGTTTCACTCTCTCCAGAAGGAAACTGTTCTCCTGGTATATCCAATCAATAAACAAACAAAAATTAGAATTATGTATTAAAGAACATGGTCTTTGTAGAAGTGCTATAATATTCACATAGAAATTAAATTTTGATTCATATAGTATTTTTAAAAATCTATATGAATTACTTCTTTCTATTAAAGTTTATAGCTGGTTGATTTTTTTGAAAGAAAGTTAGAGTTCTCTAGTGATTAATTTTTTTTCCTGATATTTTGCTTCTAATAAACTTAATAATGAGCAAATGTGTAGATTTAACAAAAGTACTTTATATTCAATACATTATACATTGAGAAAGTTAAATTCTGAGTTTCACTTATATATGAAACATTTGTGAATATTGATTTGCATATGAAAATTTGCATATATTTTAAAATAAAATAATTTTACATTTGGTGTCTATAAGTGAGTTAAGTATTCCAAAGTAATTATGCATCTTTAAATTTCTCAATTACAATTTCAATCCATAGTACTTAACCATGAGAGACCACATTTCAATTCTAAGAACGCTTTGCTTTTTAGCAAACATTTTGTAAGTGAAAACCTAAATTCCAATTAAAAATTTGTGTTTTGTTTTGCTGAAGTAAAAAAAAATTAATGTTTTTGGTTTTGATTTGTCTATTCTTCATGCTTAATAACTATATTTCAGAAGAATTAATAATCTGTACTTGACTTTGCCTCTACTTATTGCAAAAAAGAATTCAAAATGAGACAGCTCAACCTCCAGTCCATTTGGCTGTTCCATCAATGAACTCCCCAAAGGATTTGCTTAGCAGGAAATCCTTTGATACAGTGTTATTGTGAGGTCACCATGTATTCATAGCATTCTTGCTAGGTTGATTATTCTTAGCAGCTAGGGCTAGAGATACCTTTAATAATTTGTCAAATTTTATTTATTTTATTAGAAGCAAAATATCAGGAAAATAAATAATTTGATGCTATTAATGGTGGATTCAATGCAGTTTACCATGTATGGGATGTACATCACTGCACGTATTTTGGTTTTTCTTCTAGGTAAGGGAGCGACTGAGGGTTTCTTTAGAAAGAGTCTCTGCACTGGAAGAAGAACTAGCTGCTGCTAATCAGGAGGTAACATACCACACTTTCTCCTCTTTTGAGGTGCAATATTGCTAAAGTTATGTCCCTTGTGTTTCACATCAATTTTATTAAAACTGTCACAAAGAGTAAATTACATTTGATATGATCACAGGCCTGAGGCCATCAAAGAAATTACAAGGCCTGCAAAAACCAATGATTAAAATCAGATTTTTGCATTGTTGGTAACTCCTATCTGTCACTTGGAAAAGACTGAAGAACAATGAGCAAGGCATACATGTGAGCTAGTGAGATCAGAATTTAGGAATACAATAGTAAGAGCAGTTGACCTTTCAAAAAAAAAAATATCACAACCCCTCTCCCATTTTGGGAAGTAACTTAAGTACCTATACAATGTAGGAGATTTCACAAATGATTACACTCCTGGAAGAGATAAGTGTACATACTTGAAGTCATTCATTGTCTAATGTACTCAAAGCATTGTGCCTACTTTCAGTAATACTGAATCTCTAGCTCAGTGATATGGCTGAATCAGGTCTTTTTATATTATTCATGGCTCTAGAAAAATTGCTTAATATTTTAACACTCATTTCTTCAAGATTAAAAACGTTTGTCTTAAAAACATTAAAAAAAGTTTGTCTTTTATTTAAAATATGCAAATGAACTTGGATTACTAACTAGTGGAGTCTATTTTTCTCAATGATGGACATAAATTCTGACTGAGCCACTAAAATAGCTGCATTTCTCTTCCTGACATTTCTAAGAGCACTTTCTCTTCTCTAGAAATTTTCTTTCTTTGCTGTAAATTCTATTAGTTTTGGTAATGTTGTTGCTTTGTGCCATCAATTAGAAATTAACCCGTAGGTGACCCTCAGGTGGATTTTCAGAGACAATAAACCACAGAGAAAATCGTCTATACTTCTTCTGAAAAACAAATGGTGGTTTTAACTTCATTCCTTTGGATTTGCAATGCACCTTCTGATCAGTAGGCTGCCAGCGCTCCCTAATACTAGTACTGTTGTGTATCATCAAGTTGGAACCAACCCATAGCTGACCCTATAGCAGGCTTTCAGAGGCATGAGAGGAGGTTGCCCATTTTTTTCCCACATAGCATTATGAGTGGTAAAGAGACTAAAATAATTCATTATTTTTTTATAGCTAATAAGAGAAACAGAAAGCTAATGCACTGATGATAAACCTTACAAAAAGATTCCTGACAAAATAATATTTCTGTACAGTGGTCTAATGGATAAGGAGTTTCACTGATAGTCTTAAATAAGGTCATTTGAATCTACCCGTTGCTGTAAAAAAAAAAATCTCATCCTGTGCCATTTATGGCCTCAGAAAGCCCACTGGAGGGTCATCTATGTGTTAGTTGTGACTGATTGGCATATGCCAACAATAACACATGTACAATGGGTATTGATTACATGTATTGTTGTTGTTAGGTGCTATTGAGTAAGGCTCATTGAGACCCTATTTACAACAGATAAGAACCCTGTCCTGTCCTGCGCCATCCTTACACTTGCTGACACTCTAGATCCCTGTCTAGCAGTCACTGTGTCAATGCACTTGGTTAAAGGGCTTCCTCTCCTTCACCAATCCAAGCATGATCCAAGGAATAGCCTCTCCTGGCTATTTTCTGTTTCGTGATTGTATATGTACAGTGTATATAAATATTATTTTATTATGAACACAAGTGTGTATTCATGACAACATATACTCATATTTTATTATAAACAGCATCCTGATAGCAGCAGTCAAGATATCAAAAGATGGATTTCACTGGGGAATTCTACTGTCAGAGAATTTTCTAAAGTGCTAAAGAGTAAGAATATTAGTTTAAAGACCTTATCCAAGACATGTTGGGTTGGTTTTTTTTAATTGTCTTCCATGAATATGAAAATTGGACCATGAATAAGGTTGAAATAAAATCATCTTTGCCTCTGAATTGCAGTATTGTTGTTGCTGTTCTTCTTAAGTACTAGTATGCTGAGTACATCACCTATCAACCCTATAAACGATAGATATAAACCCTGGCCTAGTCTGTGCCATCTCATTATTTCTGACTTACTTGAACCAACTGCTGTAGTTTTTTGTCAATCCATTTAGTTGAGAGACTTTCTTTCATTGACCCTCCCCCTTTCCAAACATGATATGCCTTTTCAAGGAATAACCCCTCTTAACAAGGTGCCCAAAGTATGTGAAACATCTTTGCCTCCAAGGGGCATTCTGGCTGCACCTTCTCCAAGACATACTTATTTGCTCTTTTGGCAGTCTATGTGATAGTCAGTACTCTCCTCCAGTAAAACATTCAAAGATATCAATCTTTCTTCTGTAATCTTTATGTTCACTATCCAGCTCTAAGACACTTAATAAGCGGTGAAAAAGACTATGGCCTGAGTCAGGAGCACCTTAGTCTTAAAACGGAAATCGTTGCTCTTCAGTAATTTCGAGAGTTCCCTGAATATAGGCTTTTCCAATCCAGTGTGTCTCCATGGCTGGAAGAACAAATCTTTCATGGAGGAAGTGTAATCAGAGTGATATTTAGAAACAAGGATGATTGAATTTCACCTCACATATTTTAGTGTATTTTCAGAATAGACTAGTCCTTGGGTCGGGGTCGAGGTCTGAGAAAGGTCAGGAAAGAGAAGAAGACTCTCAAGACATAGATTAACACAGTAACTACCACAATAGATTTAAGCATGACAGACTTGATAAGGAAGATGCAGGAGAGGGCGAGGTTCAGATCTGTTGTAAGAAGGGTTGTTGTGAGTTCATACATACATATTGTTGTTATTGTCATTGAGTCTCATGCCACTCATAGCTACCCTATGCACAATATCTTTGAAACTTGCCCTATCCTGTGCTAGTCTCAGTGTCTCTGACGCACCTATTCCCATTATCCCAGTTACTCTGTCAATCCATCTCATTGGGGGAATTCCTCTCCTGTGCTGTACCTCCACCCTTCATGTGTCATCTGCATAACGTAGGCTGTTGATGAGTCTCCTTCCAATCTTGGTGCCACATTCCTCCTCATAAAGTCTAGACTCCTGAATAATCTGTTCTGCACATATACTGAAAATATATGGAGGCGGGACACACACCTGACTCAACTCCTTTTCTGATTTTGAACCATGCAGTGTTTCTTTCTTTGTTCTAAGACTGCTTCCTGATGTGAGTATAGGTTTCTCATGAGCTCAATCAGGTATTCTTAGATTCTCATTCTTTTCAAGGTTAGCCACAATTTGTTGTGATCCATATAGGCATATGGCTTTACATTGTCAATAAAACACAGGTAGACATTTCTCTGATAATCTTTGCTTTCAGCCAAGATCCATCTGACATTGGTGAAAATGTCTCTGACTCAAACATCTCTTCTAAACTTTGCCTGTATTTTTAGTAGTTCTCTAGTTGTTGATGTATTGTTCCAGTCATTCTTTTATAATATTCTGGAAGACTTTTCTTGTGTGTGATATTGTTTGATAATTTCTACTCTCTGTCAGGTCATTCTTTTTTGTAATGGGAACAAATGTGGATCTCTTCCAGTCAATTGGCTAGGCAATCATCCTCCAGATTTTCTGGCACAATTTGGTCAGCCCATCCAGGGCAGCATTGGTCTGTGGACATATGTAAATTATTCCATCCACTCCCAAAGCCTTGATTTTGCCAACTCTTTCGGAATAGCTTGAAATTCCTCCTTCATCACCATTATTTCTTGATCATATGTTCTTTCATTAAAATCTTCCCTGTCAGCCAATTCCTTTTGGTAGAGTGATTCTGACTCTGTGTACTCCTGCCATCTTCTTTTAATGCTTCCTGGATAATTCAGTATTTTGCCCATAGTATCCTTAATAATCACAACTTGAGGGTTGAATTTGTTTTTCTGTTCCTTCAGATTAAGAAATGCAGAGCAAGTTTGGCCCTTTTGTCTCCACTCCAGCTTTGTGCACATTTGCACATTGTCATCCTGCACTGCCCTTTGAAATCTTAATTTCCTTAACTTCCTGATTCCTTCCCTTTGCTTTGGCTTCTCCATGCTCTAGTGCAATATTCAGAGTCTCTACTGACGTATATCTCTCTTTCTTCTTCCTCCTCTGTCTTTGCAACTACGTTTTTTATTTCTTCATTAATTATATTCTTGATATTCTCCCAAAGTTCTTCATTCTTTACTACTTTAAGGCCTTATTCCTCTTCCTAATGTAATTTTGTTTTCACTTTTTATTATACTAGTTTACTTATAAAATTTGAATACATAGTTTTCCAGAATGTAATTTTAAATTCAGGCAATATATACTTAATCAGCTAATGTGATTTAAAATTCAGGTAGTATACATTTAAGGGAGCTTTGGTGTCCTAGTGGCAAGAAGCTGGGCTGCCATCCTGAAGGGACCTGGTTTGAGTCCACTAAGATGGGCAATCTCCTCCTGTGAGACTAACTGCCTCTGAAAACCCATGGGAGGGTCAGCAATGGATTGGTTCTGACTCGATGGAACACACACACACACACACACACACACACACACACACACACTCACACATACTCTTAAGATCAAATTTTTGTTCTTGTGGATTTGATTTAATTTTACTTCACTTTAGTTTGAACTTGTGTGTGAGTAGTTGATGATCTGTTCCACAATCAGCACCTGGTCTAGCTTTTACAGCCAATAGTGAGCTTCTCCAGCAATTCTTTCCACAGATCTAGTTCATCTGATTCCTTCCTGTATGTACCATCAGGTGAAGACCATGTGGATAATTGATTTTTAGGTTTCTTTTAAAAAATATGTACAATGAATAAATAAAAAGTCTAGTACTATCTCCAGCCTCATTGCTGTCAAGTCCATGCTTTCCAACTGTCCTCAGATTTAGCATTCCAGTTGTCCGTTAGTATTAATACATCTTGGTTACATGTTTGATCATTCTCCAACTGCAAAAGTTAATATAAATCATCTATTTCCTCCCCTTTAGCTCTAATTGTTGGTGCATATATTTGAATGATAGTGATATTAACTGTACTTCTTTGCATGTATACA